ATAAATGCGTGGAGCATTTAAAATAGCAGAACTATTGTTATTAAACCATTTATTTTCTCCACCATGTGTCCTGTCCATGTGATCTTGAATCTTTTCTTGATCATCAGGTTCCTTGCAGCACTTATGTTTCCTGTGTTTTGCATTGGGGAAGCTCTTTAGCTGTGGGTACCTGTGTTTTTTTAAAGTGCATCGTAATGTGTGTGAATACTTTATGCGCATGCTGAACATCGCCCTGGGTTATTAATAACCAAATCCAGTTCGCTGCACCCATGGCTGCCTCCTGCACTCTAGTACAAATTGTAAAATACAGGTTCCTAAATCACAATGGTGGCCTTTTAATTTATTGCTGTGTGAGCACTCAGTGGTGCACACTTTGAGCCAATGAAACGGAGACACACACAAGGGTCCTTTTTTATTATTACACCCCTCTTTTTTTACTTAATGCATCAAGGTTTGCATTTTTTTCAGTTGGATTAAATGCAAATTAGAGCTGCTGATGTTCTTATGTTGAAAAAAATATTTTCCTATGACGGAGGCTTACTGTGGTTGCATCAGCAATGTGATAACTTGAGTAAACATGCAGCTCACTGAGGTTCAGTTTGGAGAAGAAGGTATATGTTTCTATATTTAAATTCATAATTAACGCTACAGCTATTTTACTCAGCCATTATACATTAATTTAATTGTTTCGGTTTCTTGAACTCTATTATTACACACTAGTAGAAAGACTGGATATTTATCTGTCTGGGGCTCTTATCTCTCCAGTGGTCAATAATATGATCTCATGTTTATTCATATCTGTGTATTTGTACTTTCCTGGTTTATCCACTACTGGGGATTCAGCTGCTTTCTTGCTATTTTTCCTAAACTTTTCTTATGGGTAATTATTCCTTGGCTTTTCATAGACTACATGTTTTATTTATGTCACAATGTTTTGATCTTTGTCTTAAACCAAACATTAAAAAATGCAGAAATTGTATATCGGAAAGAAAAGTTCGAAGAAAAGATGAAATTCAAGGTTGAACATAAATATGCTGTATTTCTGAGTGCAATTAATTTATATTTATTACATTTAAATCAAATATAAATGTATTCATTGAAAATAAATAAAATCTAATGAGTTTGGTTTAGTTTTAAAAATATGAATATCTTCTCTTAGATCATTGTTTGTTTGTTTTTTAATTACAATAGACTTGTTCAAATTATTTGTGACATAAGAAATGTGAACATAAATCACTTTTCTAACAAATAGGAATGAAATCTAATTGGTTTAAACCTATATTTCAAAAATAAATATATGTAATGTGATTACATAAGTGTGCACACTGTTTTTGAACCTTTTTTATTTAATTACAGCCATCAATATTCTTTGTTGGCCATCTGTCAACATGCTACATCTCAACTTGGTGATATGTGCCTACTCCGTATCCACAAGCTCTCCAAATTTATTAGAGTATGGATTTCCTGTCCACAGCCCTTCTTCATATGTTTAGCAGATGTTGGACTGTCTCTGGTTTGCGATTGGCTCATTCTGAAACACCAGTTTTCTTGCGATGAAGCCATAGACGTTTGTTTTTTCCTTTAAAAATGAAATCTCTGTAGAATAACCTTTCTGACAGACACTTGAAGATTTGGGGTCAAACTATCAGACTTCCAGGGCTGTTTATAATTTTGTTCATCTTCATTAAACGTTACTTCAATTCAAAGAAAAGATTACCTCAGATCATAATGCTGCCATTACCATACTTGGTTTTAGATAAAAACTTATTTTGTGTTTGTGCCATGAGTATCTTTGGGAGCTGTGGCTGATCAAATAAAATTCTCCCGTAAAGCTTTTAGATTGATGTTTTCTTTGAAAGAAAATTATTTTGTATTTTATTCCTAATTGTGGTCCAAATTCATAGAGAATAAAAGAGATTGTCATCACAAGGGAAACACCACTACATCCTGGAGCCTTTTTTCCGCCTTATTGATCAGTTTCAGCTTTGTCTTTTCAGCACTTTCAGTTCATCAATCAGTTTTTGTAATTATTCTACAATTATTGATGACTATCCTCAAAGAACAATGATGTTTGTCATCTGTAAAAAATGTGTGCCTCCCTCCCAACTTATACGTTTGAGCAGTTAGGTCTTTCTAACTGTTTCTAACATCCTTCCAAGCTGCAGTTAAAGCTAAAATATGCATATAAGCAAATGCCATTAAAATAATTAATTTAGCTTCATTTTTGGTTCATTTCTGGTTCAACCTTTCCTTCTGCAGTGGCTCTTTTGGAGGAACATTCATTCACTATTAGATTTCTGGCTAATGGGACTCCAAGTTGAATCCTCTGATTGAAAGGATCTATTTCTGAGCTCATGCTCTTAAGTTGAGTTTGATGTTGAAGTATGAAACAGAGGTGGTTTCATTTCTGCTTTGATGTATCCCAAAGAGGTTCACATTATGCAGCACCCTTTATGTTGTGTGAGCGGTCATAGAAAAGTCAGATTATAATCAACCACTTGTCTGCCAAGTCTGAAGAACTTGAGTGTTTAATTTTGATATAAGATATTATAAGTGTGTTTAGAAATCATGTTAACCATATGAGCACATACTGGCACAATTCAAAATCAGACAATACTCAATGGTTTGGTTTCAACTTCTAAATCAATGAGTTGAGTTTTTTTGGGCGGAGGGTTGCATTCTTACATTTCTACTTACTTTGTAATATGAAAAGTATATTGCATAGTAGCTTGTATTCGGTTAAAATCTCTGTTTTAGGGCAGTTAGAATTACCAGAACTATTTCTATTTGTTGAATGCCAGAATAATGAGTTTTTTTCTTTCTTTCTTCAAATTAAAAACATCCAAAATGCAATTCTGGATGTGGAAGAACCATTTGTATGGGGTGAAGTTGCTTCAGTAATGTGCACATAATGTTCTATAACCATGATGTCATTTATTTTTCAAAGTGCACCAGTCCCTCCTGCAGCAATGCGTTCACACAGCATGATGCTGCCAACCCAGAACAGGTTTGCAGGCTTCCCCGTTTATTCCTCCAAATGTAACAATGGTTATTATGGCCAAACATTTCAATTTTACTTTCATCAGAGCAAAATAATATATATATATTTTTTATTATTATTTTTATGTTGCCAGAATCTGGAAATTGAGATCTGTATTTTTATGTTTTTGGACTAATTTCATATTTTCTTTATAATTTATGGGTTTTTATTTTGGATTAATTCACCACCTAGCATCCTTTCAGCCCCTGATGTTAATGAACTTGTTTCACAGTGGGTCATGGGTGGTTTGGCACAGAAAATTTAACTAATTTCTCTCTTGGACCAATTTCATGTTTTACCTTCACAGGTTTACTTCACAGTGCTGCACTTTTAGCTTCAGTAGTATTGAGATAGGGTCACAGTTTTCGACAGCAGGACCCTGCTACCTGCAGCTCCAGAGCCACAAGCGGCTCTTTGGCTCACTTGGCGATGAAACATTGCCATGGGTTTTGTTTTGTTTCATTCTGTTATTCCATGAAAGAACAATGACCTCATCTGGTCCTCCTGGTAAATTTGGTCTACAGCCACCATTGCTGTGGTTAATCATCAGCCAGCATCGTGTAAGTCTTTAGCTTAGCAACAGAGGTTGCTATGCACATTTTGCACCAAAACACCATCCTCTTTGGAAAACTCATCTGCTTTCTGAAGCAGTATGATGGCAGGACATTTCCATACTGTTTTTATTTTTTCCATTTACATATAGCTGTTCGCGAAGTGATGCTTTCGGACATCTAGAAATTGTACTTAAGTTCCTGAATTCTCTTCCTGGTGTCTTCGCTGATTTCTTTTTTTTCCCATGACGTTAATTAAGAAAGCAGTTTGTACCTCAACTTAATTTCAATAAATCAATAACAATATTGTGATAGACATGTGATCAATATCAGTAGATAATACATGTGATAGAACATTCACTGAACTCTGATCCAGAACCACACAGCATTCTGGGAGATGTAGGCAGAGGAAAAACATAACCTGCTCAAACTTTCATGGCCTGCTAAACTACGTTGATGGTATCAACTCACTCTCTCACTCTTTGGTTACCTAGCAACAACCTGTTGAGTAATTGATGCAGCAACAGTTTCAGGTTTTGCCACCATGCCTCATAACTGCTTAAAGATAAAAAACATTGGCATGGAGTGAAAACTGTGACTCATAAGGTTACTCCATCCATCAGCTTGGCAGGATTTCAGTTACTTAAAACAAAATCCAAATACATGATCATCAATATGATAAGTTAATTCATGGTCATCTTAATGGATCAAAATGGGAATTATTTATTGTGATTTTAATGTTAGACTGTGGAAAAACATAGCTGTAGTGTATGTAAATACCTGGTTTCAGTTAAATTAGATGCATCTGTTGAATGCACCTGCGATGAGAGTGATAATTACACTTTGAGGTCAAGCATAAAACACACAGGGCAGTGTGAAATCACTCACAGTAGACTTTTGTGCAAGATTACCACCAAACATGGACAGAAGTCTGAGGGCGTAATTTATCGATGTTGCATAAGAATTGCATAAAACTTGTTGCTTTAAACTCGGGGTGCATGGGGTTTTGTTCTGCTAAAACGCTGAAACTCCTACAGCCGGACACTTTCTACTACACAGCTGGTGCTATTGGGCTTCTTATGAAGAGTGGGCAGTACGATGAAAGCCCAGAGGGAGACTAGAAATAGGAGAGCGTAGGAGACCGGCTCCAACAATAACCATCTCTGTACAGATGTATTCACCATGAAGTAAGAATGGGATTCATTCTCTGAGTCTAATGCAGCAAATGACCTGTGTAATGTGCATTGTCTGTTGGGAAATGGCCTCTGCTACAGACTGAGTAACAAGTTTCTCATCTTCCTGACAGGAAGTGCAAGGTCAAATGACTGCATTATCATCACACAAGGGGGGAAGGATTTTTTTAACACTTTGGGACTAAAGAGGGTTTTTATTTTCTCTCTCTCTTTCAGCTGACGTACCTGCCCCCACCGTGGGGCGACTGCAAGTCCACGGCGATGGACTCCGACTTCTTCAGCAGTTACAGCATCACTGCCTGCAGAATTGACTGCGAGACGCGATACCTGGTCGAGAACTGCAATTGCAGGATGGTCCACATGCCTGGTATCTTTCACACACACGCACACAAACACATGCACACACACACACACACTGCTTCTTACAAATGCATTTATCAAGCAGAAAAGTGCCCTAGCGGCTGTTGTTTGTAAACTTATTGTAAAAGTGTCCTTGTGAAGTGGTGGTGGCAGTTTTACTCGAGGAACCAACACATTCCTGGCAGCGGTCTTAGAAAATCACATACTTTCACACTCTAGTGGATCGGAAAACTCGACCGTTTTCCCTTTGTGTTTGTCCAGTGATTAAAGCTGGCGTTTGCTGTCTACCTCTTACATTTAATCACAGTGTGAGATCTCACATGGCAAATTGAAAAGGGGGCTCTGGCACAGAGGAAACATTTGGATTGGGACTCTGTTAAGACTCACACACCTGCCTCCCCTCTAACATCTCTGTTGTCAGTCACAGAGCAACCTGACAATCTGCCTGTCTGATCACCAGGATCATATGCTGCCTTGATATGTGTTTGAATATCCTGAGTCCACAGGGAGCGAGATAAGAATCCTCCACGCCCCGTTTTTTGCTCTGGTCCAGATCGTCCTTCAATCTTCCTGTCAAATGTGTAGTTTTTAGGGAAAACTCCATGAATTATTGCCAATAGCAGGGAAGTAATTTCCTGTTGGTCCACAGCACCATGGCAGGTCTTTATTCAGTGTTGTTTTGATGGATTGAAATGAATGGCTGGACTTCTAGAATGACATAGATTGGAACAATGTTGACAGAAACTTTAAAGCAGTGATAAATGGTATCAGTTAGGAGACCAGATCCATTTTATGACAGTATCCAGTTGTGGAAAATAAAAGTAATGACTCAAAGCAAATCTTCAACCCATTTCTAAAAGCTTTTCTTCTTTCCTTCACACTGTTGCTGCTTTTTCTTTTCCCTGTCTGTCCTTAGGAGATGCCCCGTACTGCACCCCGGAGCAGTACAAGGAGTGTGCAGATCCTGCCTTGGGTAAGAAGATAAACCAGCACGATGTGTGTATATGTGTATCCCACTGTTCAGAGCTGATAACAGATAATAGTGTTCCTTCAGCATGATGGTACCACTGAAGCTTTCCTTTTCTGCCTCGCCACCAGCTAAAACCTCTCAGGCCTTTCATGTCTGCTGCTTGTTTTCTTACAGACTTGCGATCTCTCACTCTTTCATGGCATCACCTCGCACGTTGCCCTGCTGTCCCTCTTGCTCCGTCAGCATGTGTCTGTCCTATTTTTTTATATTTTTTTGAAGGTCTCAGAGGTCGCCTCTACTTTGACGCCTCTCACTCAGCTGGCATTTTGTTTGTCACGCCGGAATGACGATAAATTAATCAGTCCCTGTCTTCTCTTTTTGGATCTCTGTCTGTTTCGCCTTCCTCTTCTCTCTCCATCTGTCGCCATCATTTGTTTGGTGTTTTTTTGGTTTCTTAGATTTCCTTGTTGAGAAAGACAATGATTACTGTGTGTGTGAGACCCCATGCAACATGACTCGATATGGCAAAGAGCTGTCCTTTGTGAAGATTCCCAGCAAGGCATCGGCCAAGTACCTCGCCAAGAAATTCAACAAGACGGAACAGTACATTGCGTATGTCATACTTTTTTTTTTTGATTTGCTGTGATGTTTATCCTGTTTGCCTCATTATCATTTTGATTATGTTCAGGGCAATTTTATCCTGCTGTCTGAGAGGCTGCTTCACTTGAAGCAGCTAAAAATTGAGCTTAGATGAGTTTTAAAATGCATTTAACTTCTCTGGAGTATTCAATATCACAATGTAATGACTCTTTTGAGAAGTTTTGATGTTATGTCTAGTTTCATAAAGTGTGTTGCATCTCTTAGTGTTACTTCAGGTGTTTCAGTTCCACCAACTCAAGGTGTGAAGTTGAATAAAGAGTTGGGCAATAAATCTGTAACACTATAAATCACAATAGATCCTTGATCGATATCAGTAGAAAATATGTCCAGTAGATTGTTCAATGATTATAGTGAACTCTCATTCAGAACTGCACATTCACTGGATACAGCTTGAGGAAAAGCTTTTGCCAAATAAGCAAGGTGGGTGGCATCAATGAACTCGCTCATTGGTTGCCTAGCAACAACCTGTTGAGTAACTTGTGCAGAAACGGTTTTGTGTTTCACCACCGTGCCTCATAACTGCTTAAAAATAAGAGAGTGGAGTGATAATAGAAAATGAGTTTTCTCTTATGAAACAGGAAAGGTCACCACTGTGGCAGTATTTCAGATATTTAAACCGAAAAAAAAGTAATAAATGATTATCAGTATTGACTGATATGATACATTTTTCAGCCATGTCTTCCAGCCATGTGCATGTGATTACCATCCTTCAGTGAGTTCATATTTTATTTGGCAGAAGTTTTGTGTAGCTAAGACTTTGATTCTCTTTTAATTTGACTGCAAAAGATTTGTTTCCATCTCGGAGCTTATACACAAAGACATTGCTTCATCTGCTGACAAGTACATGCGCCTTGTCGTTCTGGTGCTCTTGGATCTTACAGCAGCTTTCGATTCGTTTAAAACACTTTGTTGGTATCCATGGCACTGTACTGAGGTGGCTCACTTCATACATGACAGATAGAACATTCTGTGTCATGATCAATAATTTATCCTCTTTTTATGGAGTGTCACAAGGCTGTATTCTTGGTCCCCTTCACTTTTCCCTTTATATGTTCACTAGGTAAAGTTATAGCTATACAAACTGTCCTTCCCTCATTATGCAGATGTTTGCATAATAAGGGATATTAGTAAGTTAAGTTAAGCTAGGTGTGACTAATGCGGTTATCTCTATTTTTGGACTGCATAATGGCTGCAAAACAGTAGATAAGAATAATTGATCATAAGATTGAATGTATTTTATTTGGTGACGTTCCCACCGCTGACATCAGCTCTCTACCTTTAATAAAACTGTTAAAATCCTTAGATTAATCTTTGATCAGGAGTGTAAATATTAATTAGTTCTGGACTCTACATGATGTCCCTCTGTCTTCCTTAAGACGACTTCAACTTGTCTAAAACGCGGCTGCCTGTCTTTTAACCAACGCCTCTAGATGTGAACATCAGCCCAGTTTTATCCTCTTTTCATTGGCTTTCTTTCCATTTTAGAATTGATTTTAAAATGTTACAATGCAGCAGTTACGCTGATTGAAAACAACTGAGTTTCTTCTTCGTCCCTCTATAAAAGACTGAGGTGCTTTTGTTGCACAGAGGGAAGATTGGACCTTTCTCTCACCTCACTTGACCTCCTGGGTTTGGTTTGCAGACTCACTTCAGTTTTGTTTAGTCTTGTTTGTTTTTCACAGGATTGATTCTATCCATTAAAATAAACATGCAAATAATGTATCCTCATGTCCTTTTCCTTTTTTGTCACAATCACTGAACCAGGTTGTGACATTGTTTTTAAAGCTCATAATCACCTTGCACCATTTTGTTTATTTGAACTTTTTTATGTACATGGAAGATTCCTGAGATAATTAAATAAACTTTCTTTTAATTTTTAGACAGGCTTTTTATACCATGTGGCATAGTGGCATTTTTTCTTATTTCTATTTTTAATTTTTGTGGGGTTTTTTCTTTTTGTTTGATTTTTACAATTATTTACCTCAGTTATTGTTAAGTGCTCAACAAATAAATCAATTTTCATTCAACAATGTAAAATGTATCAAAATGTAAAGACGTAAGCCTAACTTTGGATGCTCACCCAGCTGGATAGTTATACACAATATTCTCTGAAAAGATTCGACCACAAAACAAATTGTGAAGAACTGAAAGATAAAGAAGGATGCTGCAACCCTCCCAAAAGTTAACTACCCAAAAACAATCATTTCGGGTCTTCCACTGAATTTGTTCTGTGAACTGTTAGTGAGTCTCAAAACAATTACCTGCAACTCAAGAGAGCTCACCCATTGAAAAATGATAACATTTGTGATTCCGACATCAAGACATTATTGAGCAACAAAGGTGTGCATATTGGATATCAACAAACAGCAATCCACTTCTGTCCCAAAGGAGCTCCGTATCTGCAGTTTAATAAAGATTACACAGAACAAGCAGCGGTAGAAAATTGTTTTGGGGATTCACAACAGCAAAATAATGCAAACTGATGTTTGGAGAAAGAAAAGCACAGCATAAAATATTAGGACAACACAATGTATAATTTGTTTTAATTATGTAAAAGGTGTTACTTTTGCACAGTCTCTCAACAAAATGGGTGGATGTTAATTTTATTTTTCTGTATGGCAGAATATGTTTCTTTTGAGGTTGATGATTCCCTTAGATTACTTACTTAGGTTGACATTTTAAAGTTTTAAAATTTTTCTTTTATCTTTTGAAGTATTATAAAGAGCTCCAAGTGAGAATTTAAGATGATTAGTCAGTCAAGTACAGAGTGTTTTATTTTCATATAGAATACACTAAAAAGATTAAAAGAAAGTTCAAGAAAATGAGAAGAGCGTACAGTCATAGCTGAATATTTTATTCATCACTCCAGGCTGTTGAGGGTTAGATAATTACTGTAGCACATGTAGCCAGAGTGCAACCAGAAAGAGAAAGTTTCTCCATTCCCAGAGCACGGTTTATTTAACAAGTGGCCACATTCCCAAGAAATGAACATTTGTGGAAGGGTTTTTGATATCCAGCCTGCTCTGTGCTTCGTGGTGTGAAACTGAAGAGTGTGAAGTTTGACTGTCGGGAACCTCACAGAGAAGGAGGCTCAGCTAGGCGAAAGCTTCGGTCCGCTGTTTGACAGCAGCTCTGATCAGACGTGGTTCAGGTTACTCGCTGTCAGTGAGGAAGCATCGCTTTTACATCAGGGTGACACCGCACACAGGAGACCTACAGACCAGAGGGAAATAGACGGAAAATACCAGAAGAACTGTCGGAAGTAAAACAAAAACCTCGATGATATTCGACTGGGGATAGGCTGCCTATACTCCAGAGGTACAGAGGCTATTAGAGCTTGTGAGAGTTTGACATATGTGGAAGTTTCAAATTTACCAGACGTCAAATCCAAAAGCATGGAATTAGTTAAAATTATAGTTTTAGGATTAATGTGAATGTAGTGAATAAACCTTTAAAAGCTGAACCTAAATTAATGGAGGAAAAACATGTTTTGTTACATAATAGCACAGCAGTTGGCTCCAGCTCTTTTACAGGGCTGCATTTTCTTTAGCATTAATTAAATAGTTTTAATAGGAACGAGTGCAATCCAACCCCTGGGGAAAACAAGTGGACTCTGACCCGGATGGCAGAGAAGCTAAAAGGTTTTAGTTCAATTAATGGCATCAAGATTAGCTGAAACGTGGTCTAATTTAAACTATTACAATACCGCATTCTAATCGTATTACATAAGTAGTCCCAAAGAGGTCTGTCTATTCAGAGAGGCTCGTATTGCAGTTCATTTTGGAGTTCAAAAAGTTTAACGAGATCTCTGAAACATCTTTAGAAAACTGCAGCACCGAGTCATTGTGACTCCGTAAAGAACAAGAACTTATTGGATTCTGCAAAGACGCGCCCGAACTTTGCAAAGAAAAAAAAGACGATGCAAAGTAGTATGCTTTTTTTACATCCTGCTTTTTTTTTACATCCATTAAAATGGATGTAAAAAAAAATGGTTAGTTATCTAGTAACTAACCATTAATAGATAATGGTTAGTTAAAATTAATTCGCATATTAAGATACTTTCACACAGTAAGACCACATGACAACATTAAAAGTCAGCTGGAACATGGATAATCTTTGAGGGAAAGCTCTTTAATGCTACATGAATATCCCAGAGTCCTTTGCTTTATTTTTAATAGTTCCTGAGAATCACCTGACTCTATTGTAGGAGCCCACTCTTCTGACTCAAAAAGTCCTGTCTTCATATCAAGACTACAACCTCATCATATCCACTCCTGGCCGCTAGGGGAGCTGCTGTCCTCCTGTTGCAACAAAAAGGTCTCGCCAAGCAGTGAATGATATGCAAAAAATAAACAACATTATTAAACAAGATATTAAACAAGTTGCATCTTTTTCATACACTTTGTACATAAAGATAAGTGTGCTACTGGTGGAATAATACTCTCCACGCATATGGGCAGGTTGCTGGGAGACCGAGCGAAGCTGTCTGGACTCCAGGTTAAATTTAAACTGAAGCCTTGAGTTTGTATTTAGTTAAGGAGATGAGAATGAATAAGTGCAAGCAGCTGCTGGATGTGGTATATACTATAAATATACTATACACACACACACACACACACAGTTAACCAGCTTCAGAGTGGTGTGACCCATTCAAAGTGTTAAAAAAAAAACACACTTCAGATTTGGATTTTGTGTGCATGTGTTCTTTTGATTACAAGTGCCAACATAAGCTGGCAGACCACAACTTTAAATTTGTGCTGCATGCTTGGGGGATGTGCTGCATCCTATTCAGAGCCCTACCACATTCATAGGGAAATTTCTCAGATTTTCAGGAGACATTCTAGTGCAGATATAATAACTGTGGCAGTATCATTGTAACAGGATGTGTTAGAAAGCTGCAGGGTAAACTCCAGCTGCCAAATACCATAGAGTGCAGGGCCATGCTTGCCTTCACACTGAAATTATGTTTTTCAAATTCGCCACAAACCAGTGATATTTGACTGGATTTAAAGATCCTAGAGACAGACGGCTCATTCCTAATCCGATGTGAGGCAAAGCCAAAGCAACCCAAACATGGAATATTCTGCAGTTATTACTAATGGTGAATTCCTCACATTGTAAGACAGACATTTTACAAAAACTACAATCTACAAAGTCTCTGTTGCACTCAAGAAAATTCTGGGATTTTAAAGCAAAACAAACTACTGCTGTAAAATCTATATTTCATCATTTTGGAATTTGGCAAACAGAAGTCATTTTGTAACCGTAATCGAACTAAAACAGGAACACTTCAGCTATATCTAATGTTACGCAGTCAAAAAAATATACACAACTGTTGTTAAATATCTAGTTTCAACTACAGGCATGCTGTTCAGTGCTTTTCATAGAGCTTGTGCTCTTAGTAAAATCAGTGCAGTTTGGCAGCACAATTCAATATAAATTTTTGTTGTTTTGCACCTACATCACCATCTGTCTGTTAAATTTTGCAATGTAAAGTCAGCTCTTGGCTTCACTGGATCTTCTCAAAGAAAATCATTTTTTTATTTTGCTCAGATTGAATAAAGTGGGATAGCTACTAAAGAATTTTTAAAACCTTCGAAGCTGTTTTGATCTAAAAGTCTTTGGGGTCTGTCTTCCTCCAAGGAGAGAGAACTCAAAGAAGAAAAATATTTCTGTTTTGCCTTGGACCCTTAAGCTAATCCCTTTTGATTTTCTTTCCGTTGAAATCAAACAGCTGTAATCATTTCCTCTGTACACCACGATGATCAGGCCCACTGAGGGAAAATTAGTTCGCTGTGGCAGGTCATCCGCTCAGCACGACACATCTGCTTTGGTCTGTGCAGAAATTGGAGTCAACCGTCATCTTTGTAGACGCTCCGAGAGAAGCATGTGTAACATGTTGACGACTGAATGCCTGCCTTTAACACTTGCATTCTTCCCTTTCTGTTTGCAGTGATAACATTCTGGTTTTGGATATCTACTTTGAGGCGCTGAACTATGAAACCATTGAACAAAAGAAAGCCTACGAACTGGCAGGCCTTCTGGGTAAGGAAATGGCTGTCAAGTGTTTTCTTGGGAAAAGATAACATGCAATGTGCCGCCTGACAGACGCTTTTTATCTGGCATGAAGGCAGAGCCAATGTATGCATTTTTATAATAGGTGTTCAGGTCCCTGTAGAGGTAGAAACGACCTATTTAATCTATTGTTCGCTTTTCAACTGCAGATTTGCGAACATCTGTGTTTTCTGTTGCCTCTCTCGTCCTTCAGCCGTACAGATTAAAGCTGGAGCTCATGAATGCGGAGGAATGATTTCCATCTAGTTTAAAGGCTTTCTCACTTTTCTTTTCAGGCGATATCGGAGGTCAGATGGGTCTCTTCATAGGCGCCAGCATCCTCACCGTTCTCGAGCTGTTTGACTACCTGTACGAGGTAAAATAACACCTGCCATCAGCTCCGACGCTAAACATGTGCTCTAGTAATTAGTGAAATGAAAGTTTGAGATAAACAAGAAAAAGAAGCTGGGTTTTTTTACCGCAGGGAAGGCATATTTATAGACGCATGCAATCATTCAAGCTCACCTGATCCAAATGTGAGCTTTAGTTATAAAAACAGGAAAATATTTGGATGAGTTCCAGAAGTAGAGGAGAAAAAGTAACTCTATTTTTGGTTGTTGTTTTTTTTTTGTTGTTGTTGTTTTTTTAGGTGATCAAGTACAAGCTGTGCAGATGCATGAAGAAGAAACACAAAGGCCGCAGCAGCAATGATCGGGGAGCTGTGCTGAGCCTGGATGATGTGAAACACCATGTCAGTATGGGCTGCTGCCGAGTACTTTGACTGTGTCAGACTGCATTGCTTTGACAGGAGCTAGCTCCTTTCTTCTTTGTCTCTGCTGGCCTCAATTGCCGGCAGTCAGGGTGGTGTTGGCGAGAGAGAGCGAGTGAGATAGAGGAAAAGCGATTGAAAGAGGCTAAAAGAGAGCGGCGCAAAGAAAAGAAAAGCAATTGGGATGAGAGGGGAAGACTGAGAGGGAGTCGAAGGAGAGGAGGCTTGGGTTTAATCAAAGCAGCAGGACAGTACCAGCAGGGACAGGCCAGAATTAAAGCCTCAGATGCTGTGACAGCTTACTTATATCCAAGTGTAAATGAAACCAGCTCACTTTAATTGTGAGTCAGAGCGCAGGCAGAGAAAAGTGGAAAGGCGCTCCTCCTCTGCTCCTGCCTCACTTAGTAGTCCTCCCTCTCCATCCTCCTTCATTATTTTTCCAAGTATTGCTCAGGAATCTATTATCTCGCCGCTCCCGACCCAACCTGTTGCTCTTAATTTTTTTTTCCAAAAAGGCTTTCAAGATTTTCTCACCCGTCTGCACATTCGTGTTCCCTTTCCTTCAAAGCCAATCATCTCTGCTTAATTCTCGCTGCCATTCAAATTTTTCTGTCTTTTTCTCTTCAGGCTCCTTGTGACAACCTGCGTACGCCGTCTACATATCCCGGGAACATGCTACCTCACCATCCGGGCCAGGGCAACTTTGAAGACTTCACCTGCTGAGCAGACCTCAGTAAAGCATCACCGTGCGTGTTATGCAACCAAAGCCGACCATACAGCAACAAACTTTCTGACGCACAGACAGTGAAGAGCTGATGCTGATGAACAAAAACAGAGGCATTTTTTACATAGAAACTGAGGAAAAAAATAATAAATCAATCAAACACGATAAAGGATTTCCATCCAATGGCCAAGTAAAGAGAGAGCCCTGAATATTAAGAAGTATATTTTGATCTTTAGAGAAACATTTCATGCAGCGGTCCAAACTCTTTTGTGTTGTTCCTCTGGAATACTGCCACAACAGATACTGGCGGAGAAGGTTTGCCAACAACAACAACAACAAACTCTCTTACAGGAATAAAGGAAAAAAAAGAAAAGAAAAAGCATCCATTGTTACTGGAAAATGTACAGTAATTTCACCGCAAACAGAAAAGAGCCTCCATGCCTTTATGTGACACAGCAACAACACTATCCCCCCTCCCCAACCTGCTTCTGTGACGATCCTCATGATGCTTACTCCACTGTACATGTAGCAACACAAGGAAAGGTTTGAGAATGTATCTCTGTCCATGCCTGATGGGGAATGGGTGGAAAACGCGGCAGCAGCACAGGTGCAACATCTACCATTCAAAAAATGTACTGGTGAAAATTTCAGGTCTCATCATCATGGTAATGCATGCTTGTATTTGTCCAGTGCATGTTTTTTTTTTCTTTCTTTTCATTTCTACAGTTGATTTTTATGTCTTTATATAATAAACATATATAAATATATAAATATACATTTACATTGTAATTACCAGGTCTGCCTCAGTGATAAGCAGGTAAAAGGAAGATGATGCGTCTCTTATATTTATGTGTTTTTGCTTGTGTGTGTGCGTGTAGGTGTGTGTGTGTGTGTGCGCGTGTGTGTGTGTGTGTGTGTGTGTGTGTGTGTGTGTGTGTGTGTGTGTGTGTGGGTGTGTGTGTGTGTGTGTGTGTGTGTGTGTGTGTGTGTGTGTGTGTGTGTGTAGGGTGTCAAACATAATGCCCAACCAGACGAGTGTTTAATTGTGCAACTCTCAGTTTTTATGTTAACTTCTTCACATGTGCCAGATGAGTTGAAGAATCTTTGCTCATCTTCATTTATGCTTATATTGACCTCGATGAGAGGTGATTTTTAAAAAAGAAAAAAAAAGAATATTTTTTTTTTCTTTTGGTTCTTTTCTGAACTTTTTATTCATGAATTACTTGCGGTTCTGTAGGGCTGTTAGGAATTTTCTGTATCTGTGTTCTAGTTGAAAAAATCTTACTGAAGCACAATATCGCAAGTATGTAGAGGTGATATAAAAGAAAACGTACTATTCCTCTTGATATGTCATGTTTTTTAATTTTTGTTGACTTTTCTTTTCATTCTTTCATGTTAAACTTATTTACTTTCATCTGACTGTCTCAATCCATTCAGGCTTAGAGGCCTGCCTATTTAGTTATTGATGCATAAATAAAATGTAACTATCATTTTTGAAATTTGTCTTGGGAGGATTTCTTCTCAGTAGCAAATTTACTTTCAGAAGCATTTATATGCTCGAGCGAACAGAGGCAAAATAATGTATTTTTCATCACCAAATAGAGTGTGAACATTCATTTTTAATCACAAGTAGCTCTTGGAAAATCAGATTAAGCGTCATCAGGGGGCTACCTCTAATCATGTAATCTGGAGTGCTGCCTTACCCAACACTTTCTTTTAAAATAAGTCAGCATTAAGGGAAAAAAGCGTTTAAGGGCAGGAATGTGGTACCAAGCAAGATATTGCTTATCTCTGTCAACCATTCATTTGAAACGCTGCGAGCCACAATGTTGGTGTTTTTTCCAGCTCATGCTGTTAAAGCGTAATTACACTTTCAGTAGTTAGATGACAAAAGGACTGATGGGAAATATCTTGCACTGCCAGTTTAAGTTTAATCAAGACTGTCAATCAACCAGCAGCTCAAAATTCTGGGTGACATCTCGTTGTTTTTTTTATGGTACATCTGGTGCTGCCAACTGGTACACATGTAGCAGTTTTTTATTTTATTTTATTTTTTTGTGATGCATGATTTTGTGAATATTGGAAACAAAAATGGTGTTTGCTGCTGAGTCTGAGGCGCATCTGTCCACGCCGTGGGTCATCCGAGGAGGAGAGTGGTCGTTATGCCTTATAATTCTTTCATGATTTCTTTTAGCGGAGGAGGCACACATTCGGTGTTGCTCATCAGAAGTGAGAGAACATTCATTTTTTATTAGTTCACACGAGAAGCCTCTGCTGGTAGCCACACACGCGTAAAACTTCACATAAAGAATCTCTTTTGTCTGCTGAAGACTTGACTGTGTTTAATGTGCGAAACGTGACTTTTCCCCACTAATGGTTTCATGATTTTGTGCTGTACCTGCCGAGAAGACAAATTAATTAAGAAATAAAGAGTGAAGGTGTTCATTTCCTGCTGGCATTTGTGTCTTTGTCCCCGCGACAGCCTGCAGCTCGGAAAATTGTGAGGAGGGTCAGGATACAGGAGAGCTGCCTGCCAGTGACAGAAATCCTGCAGGAGATGCTTGCTGCATCCTGATAAGTCTCCACAGGCAAAGCAGTGGGGGGGGGGGGGGGGCGGGGGGGGAGGTGGTAACACTAGCAGGAGTTCACACAAACTGAAAATCCTCACAAAAAATGAGGGATTAACATGACTTTTCCTGCTGTCTCGAGGGTCTTAATTGCTCAGTTTCTCATGTTGGCAGATTCAGAAATCCTGGCAACGGCATCACTCTTCTCTGAATGAGGTTAAATCATTAGGTGCCCTCTTTCCCTCCCCGACATCACAATCAAAGATGACTGATCCTCCTCTTTTAGCTCTCACCTTGGTGGCTGACACGCAGCCAATCTCAGGATGGTATAACAAGCAGATGCTCCTATAATGGGATCTGTCCCAAACTGTCTGGCCTTTTTTAAAATGCCAGGACGCCTTCGGATAATCCCTGCAAGCGGCTGCATGCGTGCTGCACAGAGGGGGCTCTTCTTGTGCTGGGAATCTCTGATGTTTGTGATTTTTATGAAATTTGTTTCTCCCATATCAGTTGGTTTAATCTTGCTGTCTGCTGCCACCGAACATGCACTGTTACACAAAGAAGAGGTAATTCCCTCTTAATCCTGTTATCGTATTATCAACTTCTCCACAGATATTACACTCCTCATTCGCCATCCCTCTGTGTGGCGAGCCGCGTTTATTCATTTCATTATGAACATACTCCAAAAGTCAGCAGGTCGGACTGAATCTGCAGGTTTTAGTGCATCTTTTCTTTTTGTCTTCACTCTCTGTGAAACCTGCAACTCAATATAGTTGGCAGCAAAACCGTGAATCCAATTTTTGCAGTAAATACAAAATGTTTGTTTTTAAGTTATGATTGAATTCATTAGGGGATCAAATGTATCCAAACCCACCTGGCACAATATGAAAAAGCAATCGCCCACAAGCCTAAACTCTTGCAGCCACCCTTGGCAGCAACAACTACCATGAGGAGTTTGCAGTAACTGCCAAAGAGAGTTTAACGTCGCTGTGCAGGAATTCTTGGCTCATTCAAAATTGTTTTAATTAAGCCTCATTTTCAGGTTTTCAGACCCTCTTTAAGCTTATTCCACAGAATCGGATTCAACCTGAACTTTAACTAGACCACTCCAAAATCTTAACTATGCTTTTATAAGATGTTAACCCATTTCAAGAGCAGACTTGCTGGATTTAGATCATTGCCGTGCTGCATAACCCAAGTGCCCTTGAGCTTTAGCTCATGAACTGATTGTCTGACTCCTCTCAGTCATTAGCAGGACTCTGGAGAACTTGACAATTGACTTGCAAATTATTTACCATATACTTTAACATGGAGATATCCAAAACTTCAAGATTATGTTCTGCATGTAGTGGCACTTTTTGGGCCACCAGAGGGCATTTACTTGTTGTGAGTTAAATGTTTCTGAGTGCACACAGTGAGACGAAGTAAAACAAACCAAAAGAAAAGCTGTTGTGAAATTCATTCAATTCAGTCATGTTAATCCCAAAGGGAAATTGCATTGTGCCAAGTTGTGAGGTAATAAAAACACCTGAAAATCACCAAAACCTCATAGTGCAACACTCCTAAGAACATTATTAAAGGATTAATGGAGAAATGTTGTGATGATGTGCTGAAAGAGCAGGAGCTTCTTAAAGAGACAGAGAACCAATTTCAAGGTGTGAAAATTTGAAGTCAAATTTCTTTTAGGTTATATTTGATATAGACAGCATTTTTATAGCAACTGAAAGAAGCTAATTTACTTGATTGTGTTGTAAAATGGCATAATTTGCCTGAAAAATACATAATACTACCCTTATAAAAATAGTTTTTTTCCCAGCCCCGGTCTTTCTGCATGGAGTTTGCATGTTCTCCCTGTGCATGCGTGGGTTTTCTCCGGGTACTCCGGTTTCCTCCCACAGTCCAAAAAACATGACTGTTAGGTTAATTGGTCTGTCTAAATTGCCCCTAGGTGTGTGTGTGTGTGTGCGCATGGTTGTGTCTCTGTGTTGCCCTGCGACAGACTGGCGACCTGTCCAGGGTGTACCCCGCCTCTCGCCCGGAACGTTAGCTGGAGATAGGCACCAGCACCTCCCGACCCCACTGAGGGACAAGGGTGTTCAGAAAATGGATGGATGGAACCCTTTCCAGACAAATATGTGTTTCATGTGTTCCTGAAAGTCTTTAAGTTATGTCTCTTTGTACGATCCTTGCCTAATTCCTGTTGTCAGCAAGACTCAAATGGAATTGAATTAAGTTTAAAAATGCAGACTACACCTTATGGAGGATTTTTTTGGAGTGGTATTTGATTAATTTTCATAAAGTTAGGATGGTTTGGGTAGTTTTTACCTCTTAATATATGATATTACCGTTTGAAAAACGTATTTTGTTTATCTGATGAAACATTTGTGTTTGACAGAAAAGAAAAAATAAACTAATTAAATCTATGAGGGAGCAAATACTTTTCCACATCATTTCAAGATTTATTTTTTACAGATTAAAAAAAAAGTAGCACATCATAGTCATGTTATTTTCAGATCCTCTGGTCAAATTCAAATTATTCTCACCCAAAAATAGTCGCTTCTGACCTTGTAATTCTTCATGTGTTTTATATTTCTGGATCTATACGGTGCTGAAATGAATTTTTGATCTTTCTCTACAGCTTGTTTCCGTCTTTGCAGCCGTTCCCGTCCGCGTGTCATATCAGTCACGTTTCTGGTGCAAATTTATCCTGTCAGATCTTGCGGTGCAATTAGAAAGCCCAGCCGTTTGTCATTGATAAGGCTGAGGCAGCTCCTCTGGGCTCCACTTTACTTTCAGCTCATTAAGAAGATTAATTATTGTCATGCAGTCAAGTTTGATACCCCTAGAAGATGTTGTATTAGCCTTCGGATTTGGGCCTGACAGATTTGGCCTTCCATTTGTTTAAAGTACGAACCCTGCATTCAGCTGTTTGATATTAAACCTGTCAGGAGGCCTATTAAAGATAAGCTCTATCACTCACATGGAATGAAAAAGCTCATGTAAAAACTGGAAGCCCATTAAATGTCATCAGATACTGGTAAGTGCTGAGAATGAGGAT